AGGTGGTGTAGCGCAGCTTTCGAACACTTGCGCGAGAACTACGATGGCGTCTGTTTCTGCCGCTAATTAAAGTTCCGCGACACTTTGCTCGGTCGGTTTTTCCAATCGCTAAGTGATCCGGAAGACGCAATTAAGTAATTTAGCCAAGCAAGAAAGACCAATATGGGTATATTTTTTAGGTAACCGGCTATCTACAAAACGAGAAGTTCCCACAAACACCCCTTTGGATCTACTCATGCCAAGAAGTTTCTGTTTGTCAGCTGGAAGTATGCGTGCATAGTGGGGGAATGAGTAGAAAACGGATTCGCGGTATGCCCGTCCCGCAACGCTTTTGCGCTATATTAAAATGAGACCTGGGCTTTTCCGTGTATAAATCACAGTCTCTGCCTGGTTGCAGGTTTCCACCAAAACAACAAAATCAAAGGAAAATCTAGTGCAGTTATCTCGGTGCTTCCAGGGAGACAATAATCCGCCTGTCAGTTATTTTCCTGCTATGACTTGTAACTTTAGTGTGCGTTTTCTGACTACCCGTGGGAATATTACGATATTATTAATGAATTAGGGCAAGTTATAACCAATGATAAACAAATAGTAAACTTATTCAACAGATACTTCTCAGCTAACTACACAGTCGAAGAGGGAACCATCCCCCAAGCGACCGAGATGACTGAACGCATCCTTAGTGAGATCCATTTTAGTGAAGAAACTGTTAAAGTAGCCATCAAACAACTATCAAACACCAAATCCTATGGGACAGACAAAATCCCACCATGTATTCTGAAGCATATGACATATGCTCCAATACTCCTATCTAAGTTATTCACCCTACTCCAATCAAATGCAATTTTTCCGGACATGTGGAAATACTCGACCATTGCGCCCATATTTAAAAGCGGCAACCGATCTCATACCAAAAACTATCGTGGTGTTCACCGAACACCGGCTATAGCTAAAATCCTCGAGAAAATAGTATATAACCAATTGCTAGACCATCTCATGAACGCCAACCTCATTCCCTCCTCTCAACATGCATTTTTGCCCAAAAAGTCATGTCAGTCCTGCCACCTTACTTTTTTGGAATTCGTTTCCAGCAATAGAGATGATGGAAACACAGTAGCTTCAATATACTTCGATCTAAGAAAGGCCTTTGACAAAGTCCCCCATAAAAGACTACTGATAAAGCTAAAAAGTCATGGAATTAGGCCACCCCTCCTTGATTTCCTTAAATCTTATCTTCAAAACCGATACCAGGTGGTGCAAATTCGAAACGTCGTTTCAGAACCATCCCATATTACCAGCGGAGTACTTCAAGGCACTATCCTAGGCCCCCTTCTATTTCTTATATATATTCACGACTTATCGTCCATATCTGTCTCAGCTAAGACGTTTTTGTATGCGGACGACCTTAAAATTGCATATGCATATAACGGGAATACAGTAGCCAATATTCATAGAACAATTCAAACTGATCTTAGAAAACTCAGCGAATGGAGTAGTCAGTGGCAGATGCCCTTTTCACCCGAAAAATGCCATCTCCTGATATTTGGCCCACAAAAACTTCCCCCCATAATATTCGAGAATGATGAAATAACAGAGACCCAATCTGTAAAAGATTTAGGTCTCAGCTATACAAATACCCTCGATTTATCTCCCCACGTCCAACAAATATCACCGAAAGCCACTCGCCTGTGTGGATTCATATGTAAAAATTTCACCTTAAATGCACTAAGAATACAACTGTTCAAAATGTATGTTTTACCTCTCCTAGATTACTGTTCAATTTTCTTCGGCATAATGCCCTCAGACGGCCGAAAGAAACTAGAAGGCATTCAGAGACGGTTTACTAGATCCTTGTCTAGAAGTGATGGCATCCAGGGTTCATACTTAGAACTATATCATAAATACGGTCTTCGACCACTCTGGATCAGAAGACTTCAAAATGGTCTAAACTTCCTATTCAAGGTCACCCACGACCAAGATATTCTCAAAATGAATTTACTTACCAACCAAAACGCCCCTAGAAACACCAGAAATAGCGAAGATATTATAAAGATTCCCAAATTCACAAAGTCCCAACGATCAAATTTCTACACCATAAGATATGCGACTATCTGGAATTCTCTTCCAGGTTATATCCGGAAAAGTCGAACCCTAATCGAATTTAAAATAAAAACTAAGAAATTCCTCTCAAATAACAATACACATTTATTTTTGAATAAGATAGGACATTTCTCAAGTCAATTCTTTGATATTGAATTTGGTCCAAAAGGGCTCTGATGATGCCAGCCGATTGAAAAATACCGGAGCATAGCACTAAAAATAATCAAATTTATAAAAGATAGCATCATTGATAAACATAGAACAGATAATGATATTCCTCTATTTTCCTCCCTTTCTCGTTTTCATCAGCTATGTCACCAGACACTAAATATCCCTTATAAAGCTAATAAAAATATACCCTTCGATAAAACCCTGCATATTAGTCGTGCGTATGTCTATATTAAAGCCATATTAAACATATATAGAACTATATTAGGTCATAGTAAACAGTCGACCACTACTCCTATAATTTCACATTAACAAGAACAATATGATACATGATTCAATAGTATTTTGACAGTTTTGATTGTGACTTACCATTGAATGCCTCTTACTCCTGATATATATTCATCCTTTCCAGCTCTTATTTCAGACAACGATGGTAAGCCTCCTGAAAAAATACGTCGGAACTGTGCGAGCGCCCCCTTACAGCTGGCCAGATAGACTGACAACCAACAACTAGAGCAAACCGAAATTTACCCAACAGGAAAATAATTTCAAGGTCAGGCCGATATCAAAGTTCTTCAATTGCCATGAAGGACATATTATTCATGCCCCCGAAAACTACCAAACTGCAAACTTCAATTTTTATATTGTACATATCGTTATTTTTTGAAAATTTTGTTATTATTTTCCCTTAGAACTGAGGTTTTTTTTAACTTAAAACAAACTCTCAATTCGCGCTCTTTTGGCTAACCAGGCACCCGAAGCAAATGAAGTCAAAGTGCAGTTGAAATTGACGAGTTTGTTTTAGGTTTTTTTCCTGAGTTCAAAGGGGACTGACAGTGCCCAAGGGGCGCTACAATAAACCTATTCTATTCTATTCTATTCTATTCTAACACGCTGCAGCAGTGCGGAGAAATGACGCCAGCTCTCAAGTTGCGGCTCATTCGACGGGTGCCGGCCACACATTCAAAATTGACGAGGCCGAAATTCTCGCAAGAGGTGACAACCGCGTGAGCCGGGAGCTGCTTGAGTCATGGTTCACTGGCCCCCAGTCTATTAACAAGTGCAATGATCTTCCCATTCAATACAGCGTGCTGAGACTTCGTCTAGGCGGAGAAATTGGCCACGCGGGGAGCGCCCTGATGAACACCCGGGTCAGCGCGACAGATGGTCGAGCAATCATCA